GACACGTGTGTTTAACCGGTGTTGTAACGCTGAATTAAGCAGCTGCGGGAGGTCCGGCTCATCAGAGGGGCTCCACCAGCGTTTCCCAGGGGCCTTCTGGTCTATGAACTTCAGTTCCCGTGCCGCCATGCTACCAGAAAGCCCACAGGGAACGCTGGGGGCCCAAGGAGACGCCGAATCCCTCGTAGCTGCGTCATGCACTGGCACAACATCGGCAAAACACGCGTTTCTGGGCTCCCAGCTAATACCTGTACTGTCATTTTGGTAAGTAATCACGCAGTTGTATGCTACCGACTGCCTGCTGGCAGCCACAGTAGCTGGTGGAGTTCACCTCGAATATTCATGTATACAGCAGGTGGGCTAACTCATGAAATGTCAGCCGAAATTTCGGAATGCATTACCGTTTCGAAAAGATTAATTAAGTAGGGTTGTGAAACCAGTCACCCTGCAACATAATTCTATAACATTTCAGTTGCCTCAGTATGCCGGCTTTCAAATGAACTTCCTTCCGGTTGCATGCAAAAATTACACTCTGCGAAAAGTGGCTAATTATGAAGCATGACTTTTTCTCATTGATTTTCAATGCCCCTAAAAGTCCAATTATACTTCATGGAAAACATGCATAAAAATATTCATTCTCTTGCTCACTCGGCATACAGTCGGAAAGAAGTTCATTCGAAAGCCGGCACCCTGAGGTAGCTGGATTATTATAGCATTACACTACATAATGATTAGCTTTGCAACCCTACTTACTTAATCTTTTCGAAATGGGAACGCATTCCGAAATTTCGGCTGACATTTCATGAGTTAGCCGACCTACTGTAATTTTTCGAACCGACCCTAAAAACCTTGTTTTGATGGATTTACTCCAAATTCGCGCATTTATTTCCTTAGAAATTAAACAACTATTAGGTTGCTTCCAAAATCCAAAAGAAAGACTGGATTGCCACGCAAGCGAATGGTATGACTTCAGTAACACCTACTCTGGTAAGAAGTAACAGCAGTTTCTGTCGATACCCCCTCCTGTACGATCAACGATGGTTTTGCGACCGCGTGCGATGGATCTCAAAGACGCAATGGGGCGACCATATCCCATAGTCTGATCGGTAAGCAGACGTACTACGTCGATATTTTCACACACTGTCGCAGCGAGCGCCGCTCAGCATTATTTTAAAACTCCGAGTTTCATGTAGATCTTCCATCCATCTCATGATTTTAAAGAATTTCGGGGCTGAACAGGAAAACGTGAGGACGCTGGTGGAGAGCCCACGGATGGGACTGCAATGTCAGATACCTCACTGCGTACGCCAGTCGTCGACAAAGCCTGGATTGTGTGCTAAGCCTGAAGTCTTGAAGAGGGAGACACGATCGCTGGGATAAGAGCTTTATTAGCCTGACGTTTCGGATTCCTGCTCGAACCCATCATCAGAGACAAAAAAGCAGACACTCCAGGCTAATAAGGTTTTTGTCCCAGCGATCGTGTCTCCTTCTTCAAGACTGCTTCCTGGGACTCGTCTCTTCGCTTCTACGGGCGTTTTCTCGTAGAGTGGATAAAAAAGGAGAATGTACGAATCTTTTGAAATAAGTAAACTTTCGAACGAAAAATTTCTAACACCGGTTCATACCGAAAAGCAAAAAATGCACACTGTTGAATAACTGATTTGATTTCTTGCAGTACTGTTTCTAACGGATCGTGTCACTAATTTCTATGAATATACTGGTAAAGGGGGACAAATTCGGACTTTTTTCAAAAACATGCACAGTCATTCTCAAAGGTGCAGAAACCCTGCCATGCATATGGAAAGAGAAAAATGCTTCTCAGCGTGTGTAAATGGGCTCTTCGCATACCTTATTATATTCGCTGACGCCTAAGAATTCGATGAGTCTGTTGGACGAAAGATATTAAAGTAGAGAGTATGGAATGTTAGCAGGGTAATATCGACAGAGATTATGGTGGATTTAGTCAACTCTTTCTGGGCCGCTTGGGCCTTCCTTCAATCAAACAAAGTTCTAACCACTGTCATAGCATTTATTCCTGCCTACCTCTGTAAAAGTCATCTAATGAAGGCATAGAGGCAAACGTCGCAGAATAGCTGTAGTCACATGAAGAAACAGGTCCGATCGCCAGAATAACTACTATTTTCGTCCCATGCCTCAAATTTGCACTAGAAACGAACGTTTCTTGCGCGTCCATGTTTAGTGTGACTATTCCGCGGCCTGCTAAGTCAAGTCCTCACTTGCTTCTTCGTCGCCGGCAGTGTTGATAACTGGCGTGTTTTTCTTGTATCAGATGTTCAGGCTAATATTACGTAATTTTCATCTTGCAGGGCCCACACTCTTCTAGGAGCTTGAATCGCCGAGGAAGCAGTGAGCCCAAGTATCCATTTTATGGCTCTCGACGGAAAGATATTGGGCTGAGCCAATCATGTGCATTTACGGTTCAGCTAGCGCACCCTGAGCAAACTTTCCCCAGGTTTGTCGATAAGTTTATTTGAGCAAAACCATGCGTGAAAAAAAATAGTCTGTAAGGAGTTAACTGCTGGAAGTAACGTCGCACCGGAGTTTTAATGTGATAGTTAAGACTCGCATCACGTGAGGAATGGCGCCACCTAACAGTCTCTGCTGTCTGTAAGTGCGTTCGCATGGTTGAGCCCTGGAAGCCAGACTAGGACTGCAGTCAATAATTCAAAAAGTGTATCTAGAGTTGTGCAACTTCTAAAAGAGCCCTCACTGAATTATCTTCTTCCCCATCGAATCGCATGCAGTTTGAGGATATAAAGATCCGGGATTTAAGCACAAATCAGTCATTGTTAGACCAAGCGATTTTTACAGAAATAGATTTCACGTTTCCCTTAAAACGCCAGATTTTTTACATTTTTCCTTTTCTTTTGCATAAAAAATGTAGGCACAGTCGGCTACTTATACCACACACGCTATTCCACACACACACTTTTTAGCCATCTGCGTAACATAATGGTCGGCTTGTAAGTTGTCCGTACTTTTGATAGGTTAGTGAGTATGGAAAGTGAAGTGGGGGCGTGCTCAGTCGTTCGGATCCATGTAGTGCCACATGTACCTTACCGTGCTTGTCCCCTATTTTACAAAATTTACCGATTAAGTTATTATAGTTTATAAACTGCCGATCGTATCTGGGTTCCGATGCATTCGTAGCTGAGATTCATGGATTAATAACCTTCCTACGTGTGCGTTTATATCACTCTCTTGCCCGCTTTCCTTTTGTAATCGAAGGTATGTAAGTCAGACATGAGATGCATTAGTTTGCTTGGTTAGAAGCTACAATGAGACGTCAGGTGGTCCCTACTAAAGCGATGCAAAATGTGATTTGTCTCAAGTCAACTAAAGAACTTGAAAAACGCTCGTTCATAGGTCCCAAAAAGTCAAATAAAAGTACGAACTGGTCAACGATACATTTGAAAAATCTTAGTAACGGGTTTCTGAGTGGATAGTGTGCCTGTTTGAGGCTATTTTCGCCTCTTTTCAAAATTCGTCACTACTGACAGGTTTTTTCTCGGCTTATATTTGTTCATATCCTCAAATAAGGACTTTTTAAACGCTACTTATGTCAGTAAGTAGATGCTTATTTTCAGATTACTTTAGCTTCAAGTATATGAAGAAACCATTGAAATCGCGGAAAGCACGTGTCTCTTTACCATACATTCCCGCGCGGGGACCAGCGTCACAGCTGTACGGCCGCCCCTGCTGAGTTGATATGGTTAGATGACCACTACACGACAATATCCGGTGGCTGGGAAGGTGAGTTGCCTCAGCGCAGCGAGACATTGGACAAAAAACCGGGCATCTTAACATAATGACTAAACTAACGCAGACAAACTGTCCGCGGCTGAGGCAAGCAAGGAGGGCAGGATTTAATAGTATCGAAGAATTTCGCGACGGCTTTTCAGCTTCGTCCTACCGCTTCAGAACGTAGATAACGAATGTGTAGAATACAATAGATTTGAATTCGCGCAGGAAATCAATGCCGAAACGACAAGGTCATGGTTTAGTGTAAAACCGGCTAATCGACGAAATTAGTGACTCAAACACAGTAAAGGAAGAATGGTGGAAAAAAGCGTTAACGAGCACAAAAATGGGGATGTGGAATCATGGATCTAAAGGCTACCATGGAACGGTAAGGCAGACCACATTTTCTAACTGTTTACAAGCATCTGGTTTCACCCGCCGTATATAGGCCGCCTCCAAGCAACGCAAAGTCCGAGTTGTTCATGCAGGAACAGGTACTCAGTAGGGCGTTTTATGGTCGACGGAGTGACCGCTATCAAGCAGGCGCTTTGTAATGGAGGACGCGGGATTTTGTTTTCTTGCTTTGGAAAACATCTGGCAGGTATTCAATAGATCTGGCTGCCGACAGCCTTTGCGTTCGCCCAATGTACTTGCATCCGCAAGTGCATGTGAGTTCATAAACACAATTTGACGTAGCGTGCATTGGCAGGGCATCCTTCGCCCGTGGAATTGGGAGACGCTTAGTAGGGCCGCATAATATGAGTTCGGCCGCATTGTATGTCCTTTCAATGGTTCAACGCAGTCGTCGTTTGAAAGTATTTAAAATATTATCAACCTTAAAGGACAGAGATATAAAAATTGGCTTTTTGGGAACTGAATGTTCTGTCAGTTTTGGCTGTGTAGAGTTGCTGTACTTGTGGATGAAACGTGCAGGATATCCAAGCTTAAGCAGAGTTTCTGCCGATATCGAAAATCCAGCTATGCCACTGAATCGCGCTTTACAAAAGGGAAAAATCAGAAGGCCAGGAAAGTCGTGTGTAATTTTAGTTATTGCTGAAAATTCGTATAAGGCAGCCTGGGGGATGGTTCAGGTGGCTGACATCTAGACAAGGTTTGTAAGAAAGAAACGCGTTTGAGAGACAGATGGAAGTTAGCACTATCGAGGGAATTGGTTTGTTCTTCATACCTCTGCATCGAAATGCCCTGTGCGGCCGCTCCCGATGAGTTGATACCGTTGGATGGCCGCTGCACGACAATATTCTGCGGAAGATGTGTTCTGCATGCAGTGAGTGTTAACTCAGAGCATCACAGTCACCAAACCGAAATCTAAATTCACCGAGAGGATCGATGGAGTCAAAGTTAGGGGTGTCCTGGCGCGCAGAACCTCGAGTTAGCATCTCGGGTGAGAGTGGCCGGAGAGAGAGAGAGAGAGATGTCGGCTGTTATTGTGGGTTCAAGTGTTTTGTTGCCCAAGGGCCGGCATGCCGAAATGAGGCATGAGCGGTTGTGACCGTCTGAGTGCGTGCGTGTACCGTCGGTCAGACTTCAGTGTCTGTCCGTCTGGAACCGCTGGCTGGGAAGGTGAGTTGCCTCAGCGCAGCAAAACATGGGACAAAAAAGCCGGGCATGTTAAAATAATGACTATCGACTACAAAAGTACACTAATGCAGACAAACTGTCCGCAAATATCCGGCATGGGACCATATAATCTGGGCCGTTAGGGAGGGCACGATCAAGGCCATGGCAAGCACTCGTAAGCAAAAAGCTGACGGTCTGAACGCTGGGGGTCCCACTGAAGAGCCGAACCCCTCGCAGCTGTGTCACGCAGCGGCAGAATATCGGCGAAACACGTGTCTGGGCTTTTAGCAAGTATCTAGGTCGGGAGTACGGTATAATACCTTTACCATATGGAATTCATACTACTCGCAGTACTACTTGTTTGTAGAATGGGCAACAAAGATGGTAAACGGTCTAAAAAACCAATCCTACACGGACAGACTGAATTGCCTTAATCTATTCCCTCTGTGTTACAGGCAGCAAAGAGGTGATCTAATCCTGGTTTACAAGATAATAAATGGCCTTGAGCATGGACTTAACTTTGAGGACATGTTTCAGTGGCACCTTTCACCCAATCTTCGTGGCCACTCGATGAAGCTACGGACAACAATGTCCAGGCTGAACCTTCGTTCTGAATTTTTCACGCAAAGAGTAGTGGAGAAATGGAACGATCTCCCTCAGTCAGTCGTGGAGGCGACATCCCTGCAACTCTTCAAGAAACGCTTGGATGATTATTTGTGTCCCCTGTTTTCCCTCGACAGTCTGAATCTGAGCTAAACACCCCGGTTCCCCACATATTTTTTCTCTGTGACAATGCTACTCAAATGAATCAAGTACTATGTATATAGCGAACATTTTCATTGTTACTGTACAGTTATTTCTAACGAGTTGACATGTTATCAATAGGGTTTTCAAAGGCTTTGCCAATCATCCTTATCAAATAAACTGAAAAACTGAAACTGAAACGTGGTTATTCCACAGTAGTTGATTGTCTTCGACTCAAATGTTCATTGAAATTTCGGTTCTGACCCTAAAAAGTCATGTCCCGGAGATTTAACTCCAAGTTCTGCACTGATTAATTTCTGAAATTATTCAGAATATATATATATATATATATATATATATATATATATATATACATTGTTAGGGGGCGCTCACCGATCGTTCATAAGGAACTCACTCGTTCCGTTGTGCCTTACGGGCTCTCGCTCTCGAGCAGTTGATAAAATGACAACATTTTAAACTAAAAATCAGCTTTCGACGTTAAATCCCATTGAAAACACAAAACCCACACAGCTAGAAAACCGTCTTCAGTTATGAAATTCTTGTTTACAGCTGTCTGCAATATTAAGAAACAATTTCATCTTGACTTGGTTGCACAATATAGGAGATTGTGTTTCTGGCTTACTTTCGTTCGAAAAACTCTTTATCGAAATAAATTTAAATGTGAGCATAATTATCAGTATAGCCTATGAACTATGGATCAGGACACTTTTTCCCGATGCAAGATTAACTAATTCGAAGAGATAGGGAGGTGGACAGTGGGAGGCTGTTTTTGCAAAATAAATGTTAAGTATGCAATTTGGCTGAAAACAAATACTTCATGACTTCAGCTGTTATTTCCAACAAGCGCNCCGATCACAACCGACAGGACAACGGGCCCGTGGCTCAATGGTAGAGCGTTCAACTCCATGACCAAAGATCCCGGGTTCGAATCTCAAGTGATCCACACTTGGGGTTGGGTATGACTGGCTGATGACGGCTAATAAGCCAGAAATGGCCATTCCGGTCTCCCTTGTCTTTGTCGGTATTACCTTTCCAACATATATCACTAGTCGCTGTGCGACTGCCTGCGAGGGTTTAAGTATGAGCCCCAAGGCACAACGGAACGAGCATGTTCCGTAACCTGATCGGTGAGCGCCCACTATCATAATTAATATTCCCGATCACAACCGACAGGACAACGGGCCCGTGGCTCAATGGTAGAGCGTTCAACTCCATGACCAAAGATCCCGGGTTCGAATCTCAAGTGATCCACACTTGGGGTTGGGTATGACTGGCTGATGACGGCTAATAAGCCAGAAATGGCCATTCCGGTCTCCCTTGTCTTTGTCGGTATCACCTTCTCAACATATATCACTAGTCGCTGTGCGACTGCCTGCGAGGGTTTAAGTATGAGCCCCAAGGCACAACGGAACGAGCATGTTCCGTAACCTGATCGGTGAGCGCCCACTATCATAATTAATATTCCCGATCACAACCGACAGGACAACGGGCCCGTGGCTCAATGGTAGAGCGTTCAACTCCATGACCAAAGATCCCGGGTTCGAATCTCAAGTGATCCACACTTGGGGTTGGGTATGACTGGCTGATGACGGCTAATAAGCCAGAAATGGCCATTCCGGTCTCCCTTGTCTTTGTCGGTATCACCTTCTCAACATATATCACTAGTCGCTGTGCGACTGCCTGCGAGGGTTTAAGTATGAGCCCCAAGGCACAACGGAACGAGCATGTTCCGTAACCTGATCGGTGAGCGCCCACTATCATAATTAATATTCCCGATCACAACCGACAGGACAACGGGCCCGTGGCTCAATGGTAGAGCGTTCAACTCCATGACCAAAGATCCCGGGTTCGAATCTCAAGTGATCCACACTTGGGGTTGGGTATGACTGGCTGATGACGGCTAATAAGCCAGAAATGGCCATTCCGGTCTCCCTTGTCTTTGTCGGTATCACCTTCTCAACATATATATATATATATATATGTTTGTTTGTGGGGAGTGTAGGGGTTTCCAGCGATAGGCTTAAGGATGGTCGTAGTAGGTCACTCAATTGCTTGCAGGTGCAGACTACGCCTAGCGTCCATTTGCTGACACCCAACTCTCACATGTGGCTCCCCGAAGTTGGGCTCTGCGCGGCGGCCACGCCCCGGTAACCGCCTCGACCGGCGGGCTAAACCAGGTGAGGGTATCCGTGCGTGCGCCTGACCGCACGGTACAGTGGACCTCGCTGACCGGATAGATCTTCGTGTCAGCATCATCGAGACGACGCTCCGTCTGGACAATCGCAGGCGGCCATGTGGCAAATGAACCCAGGTCCCAGATTAATTCGGGTCGTTCTCTCACTACACCAAAGCCGTGGCCCATAGTGGAGTTCAGCAGCCGTCTGGGATGACCAGGCAGCCCTATTTAGGGAGGCACTGCTTGCCCGCAAGTGGAGAAGGAAGTAAAGGTGCCCTACAAATTGCTGGTAGCCACGCTGCCTGTAGGCTGACCGTGGCTGCAGACAAAAACACACGTTCAAAACAATCAAAACAGAAACAACGGCCATCTCTCTCCTCCTCTTCCTGCCTATTCTTCTTCTCCTCCTCCTCCTTCCCCTCCTCACCGCCGCCCCACTCTCCAGACCGACAGGGTGAGCCCCTTCATTCTGGCAGCCTGGAATGTTCGTCCTCTTTTAGGCAATCCGAGGAGCAATCGACTGGAAAGGAGGACGGCGCTAGTGACTCAGGAGCTCGCGCGCTACAAGGTGGACATCGCCTTACTTAACGAGACCCGGTTGTCCGAACAAGGCCAACTGGAGGAGGTGTGTGTCAGCTACACCTTACTCTAGAACGGTCGCCCAAAGGCAGAGCGACGGGACATGGGTGCCGCCTTCGCTATCCGGAACGACATCGTGGAACAACTGTCCTGTCTGTCGCAGGGCATCAACGATCGCCTGATTAGCCTTCGCCTGCCTCTCCGGGAGGCAAATTCGCCACCACCATTATCATCACCTACGTTCCGCCGATGACCAGCCCTGACGCCGCAAGGGACAAATTCTACGAGGACATGAATGTCCTCCTGGCGACTGTGTCGAAGGCGGACAAATTGATTGTTCTTGGCGGCTTCAGCGGCCGCATCGGCATAGACCATGCTGCCTGGAGAGGAGTGCTAGGTCCCCATGGGCTCAACGGCTCCTTCTCCGCACCTGCACAGAACATCGACTCATCATGAGGAACACCTTCTTTCGCCTCCCGATGCGAAAGAAGGCCACGGGGATGCACGCTCGGCCGTGTCAGTGACATCTGCTGAACTATGTCCTCGTCCGGAGGCGATACCAGCGGGACGTGCTGGTGCCAAAGGCGATTCCGGTTGCTGACGGGTTGACCGACCATCGCCTCATCATCTCAAAGATGAGGATTCGCCTACAGCCTCGCAGGAGACCACAAAGTAAGTGATCCCCAGGTCTGCTGAATATTGCTTTGTTGTCTTTGCCTGTTCACCATGTCCATTTCAGCAACGAGCTAGCCCAACGGCTATACAACCTTCCAGTCGCTGCTGCCGCCGCCGCCGCCGCCGCTGACGAGAACGCCTCCGCGGAGAACCGGTGGTATCAAATGCGAGACACAGTCCAGTCGACGGCGCTAACTGTCCACGGTCGCGCAAGCCGCCAACACCAAGACTGGTTCGACGGCAACGACGCCGCCATCAGCAACCTGCTCGGCGAGAAGAACCGCCTGCACAAAGCCTACCTCGACAGCCGCACCGACGACAACAGAGCTGCTTTCTACCGTAGTCGCTGTCTCGTTTAACAGTGGTTGCGCGAGATGCGGGACGCCTGGACTTCCCGCAAAGCTGAGGAGATCCAAGGGTACGCGAACCGCAGCAAGTGGAAGAACTTCTTCTCCGCGATCAAATTTTTCTTCAGCTGTCGCGAAGGCCGAACTGTTGGTTCTGCTAGTATGATCGGGTGTCAGCTGGTTTTTTCAAGAAGCCCCATTTCTTTAAGGCTGCTTAGTAGCAATCGAATACTCGAGACATTATTTGCGTTAAAAAATAGCTTTAGCCAGTTTGGGATCAAGCCTGAGCTTGCAGTAATTCTGCCTTCGACGAGCTAAGAAAACATTCACGTGTATCTAATGTCTAAAGCAACGCAAAATGAACGCGTATGCCCGAAAATGTCTAACTGCGAAAAAGAAAACAACTGTTTTACGGTCTTTAAATACTTCAAGGTTGGGGTGGGTTTCAACGGACATTCAAATATTGGATTTTAGGAAAACTATCAAATCAGCCCCACAGTCGCCTTTCGGCAATATTTTCCTGAAAATAAAGTCCCAAGGCCGATGCGCCTGACACCAATAACGCGACTTCTAGGCCCATTGGTTAGATCGGCTAACTCTGAAACTGCAACCTATCACTGCTTATTAAAAAAAACAAAGCAGGCGGCGCTCTTCACATGTTTTTGATAAAAGCCCGTCGCCTAATATTACTCATACTTTCACCGCCGCGATGGCCTATCAGCCGCTGAAGTCAGACCAAAAGCTGAGCAGCATTTATGTGAAACGTGCCACGAAGGAGTTGAACGAGGATCCGAAACAAGTTACAGCCCACCTTGCAAGTCTTCGCCGATGGCTTTCATCTATGCCGCATCTGACCTGCCCCAGTGGTGAGTTTTGAAAGTTACACATCGTAAGGGTGGATGATGATTCAAAATGTCCTGATAAATGGCCTGTACAGCGCAGGCCATGTGAGAGGTTATGAGAAAAATATCAAACACTTGACTTTTTTATGCAATTAACTGGGTATCAACAAACGCCTTGTCCTAGTTCTTTTGCAGTTTTCTTCATTTCTCACACTTTGCCACAATATTGTTTCTTCGGCTTCGTTTGCCACAGCGACACTGTTGGATTTGCACTTTCTTATTATGGTGCATTCGGAAAAATTCGGTGTCGTTCCAACTTTAAGGCAGAACATTCTTTTTTTACATCAACATCTGTGTGAAACATATCGAAATCTTGAAGGAATGCCCATCATTGGCCCTAATCTGTCTGCAAATATAGTTCAGCCCAGTTTGGAACCTAACCATTACTTGGATAAGAGCACATATTTTTTGCTCCGTCTAGATGACACTTTTCTTCTGGCTTTTCTACGACATGCAAAATTCAGCCACTCAAAAGCCCTGAAGAGGATCGACAATTTTTGCACATTCCGTACATCCGAGAAAGAGGGCTACCCTTTGCTGTTTCAAGCGGACGACTCTGACTTTGACTCCTATGAGCGGATGCTCGATATGAAGTAGGCAACTAAAAAATATTTCCGAATTTCATCTGACCTTCTTTTTTTTATTTGTATTGTTTTGCATTTCTTTCCATTGCCCTGTTTGTATTTGTGGACGCATTCTTCAGTTGACTGCAAAATCATTAGTGTTTGCCTTCAGTATGCACCGCGGCCCATAAAACACTGCCCAGAGTGTTTCTACGTGTCTCCAACTAAAAAATATCAAATTTTAATCGTTGCGAAACAGTTTGGTAGAGAAGAAATTATGTTAAGTAGGTTCCCACATGCAGCATGATGGCTTTCTGCCATCCGTATATTAAACACTTTTAAAGGCAGCACTCATGTTGAATGCCTTCTTTCCACTTGTTGTCAATGTTCTCACGGACTCAGTCAAATTTACGAAAGTAATGCACATAAAATCTAGGAAGCGAAATACTTGAACTTCAGGTATACGCATTGGTAAGGGAGAAGGCTGCTCGAACACCAAAATCATTTGCATATTTATCTGAGTTCTCGAACTCCTGCAGGAATCCATCATCAGAGGTAGAAGCAGCACCAGAACGGTGACAGTTCTTTGGGGTATTTTTTGATCAAAGATCAATGCGCAGGCCTGGAGGTGATTGCGCGGGCTTCTGTATGCCGGCGGTAAATCGATACATCGACTGGCTGGGTTCTCGTCCGAGGCCCAGGCCTCAATCAAATCGCGGTTACTCTTGTCTCCCACGTGGGTGATTGTCTTGGTGATTGCGAAGTTAAGCCCGTGACCCGTTTCGAAGCTGTGGACAGTCAGCCGTCGCACAGCCTGCTTTACTCACGTGCGTTCGATCCGAGCAAGCGTCCTGTCTGACTTGTGGAATTACAAGAACAGAATTGCAAGCACTGAATACGATAAACTACATCAGACTGCCCCCGGTGATTCGGCCGGTCCTTGATTTTCATAGTCCTGCTGCGGATAGTATTACTGGGCTGGTAAGCAGTTCCAGCACCTAGTCCGGCAGCAATACGCTCAGTCGCCCCTGAAACGTCCTTTACATATGGCAGAGCATGCCTAATCATCCGTTGGTTTGTGGGGTGGCGTCCCCGAGAGCGAACATATAGGCATCGACCTCTAAACGCCTTCGAATGGTCAATCTGCATACATCGGTCGGGGCGGTATCGGGACTGGCGCGCTTTTATCTTCTAAGTTGTTCGGACCCGTTTGAAGCGTGCTGTCACACAACTTCGTTTGTGAGCTACCAGACGCCTGTTGTGGAAAATGGGAAGCCGTGTGGTCGCCTATCCTGCTACTGCCTTTACCTCTGACGACAGAGTCCTGCATGAGTTCGGAAGCTCAGACAAACAAATAACTGCTTTCGATGTTCGATCAGCTTTTTTCCTCTTAAAATCTATTTTGGGCCTATTTTATGGAAAATACGGCGTATTCAGGTGTGGTAGCTAGATAAACGGGTGTCAGTTTTTAAAAGCCCTCTGTTGATGCGACTAGTTCATTTTTTGACAAGAAATCAGGTCCCTTGTCGTTGTCGGTAATGCCATTCTGCCTATATCATACCCGGCTGTGCGGCTGCTAGTTGGACTCGAGAGAGAGCCCGTAAGGCACAACGGAACGAGTGAGTTCTGTACGAACGATCGGTGAGCGCCCCCTATCATTGAAAACAAGTATGTAAACCGATTGCTCTATGTTCAATGACCTCGGATAATAAAAACACAAAACTTACTTTTAATACAAAACCGTTTCCAGAATCGCTTTTAGCTTTCAACACTACTGTCCCTTCTTCTACTTCAGAACAGTCACGCCCCTCGGATTCGCAGACAACGGAGCATTCTGCCTCCTGGTCAAAATGGGTAATGCGATTTTTGAGCAAACTTTTACCTTTCCTGTCTAGCCAACTTTGATGTGGACCTCGTGACAGCTGAAAAAGTGAAACAGTTTAACCAGCTGTTCAATGATCACCTACTCTACGATGCACGAGTTCAAATTGGAGGAATGGGTTTGGTATTGGATTACACAGGATTGAGTGTGAAACAGTCGCATGCAATGTTCAAACCGAAAGTTAACAAGCTAGAAACAAAATATTACCAGGTAACTATAGTACTGTTTCTTCGGAGTAAAAAGACTTTTAGCTTCTCATAACCGTGCAGCTATTGCCGTCAGCCTCTACTCTACAATGGAAAATTGCAGTTTATCACATATACTTTCATGAGAGGAATCGAAGTACTGATGGAGGACTTTTATGAACCATTTTAAGCACCCTAGAGGTCTGTTTCCCGGGGGTCATGTCCAGGGGAAAGTTGATATGCGTCCAAATAAGTTGATTAGGAGTTGATGTGTTGGGAGCTCCCTACTGTCTCTGGAGGCTTTCTGAAGCGCCGAAAAATAAGAACTTGACTTCCAATTTCGAAAATGTCGGAGCACTGTCAACAGGCTACCATGTCGGCAGTCACGGCGGATTGTATATTTGAGTCCAACTACAGTCATATTACTACTGTCCAGCGCGGAGGCTGTTAGTAGGCAAACGCAGCCATTTTCCTGGACGTCCTTCTGCACTAAGCTGCCTAAGCAAGTCACCTCCTACAATCCTAAAATGTATGTGTAACCCCGCCTAAAGTAAATCATTTCACGGATGGAAGCGAATATGCGAATCCCAGGTTCTTGTTGTAAAGAAGATGAAGACCCGATCTCTGGGACAGTGGGTTTATTAGTCTGAGCTTTCGGTCTCGTACAGGAGGCCATCGTCAGAGACTGTGAGAAGGTAACATCAAATGAGTGGTTTTTGTAGTCGCGCCATGAAGGGGGGGGGGATATGAATGCAGAGGGTGGTATTCGCGATAAGTTGCGTCCCACGCCGTCTCACGGTGACGTGACTGCGTGCACCCTTGGCTGGAAATTGGGTCTCGCCCCTTGGCCGCGGGAACGGAGCGCGTGATAGCAGGGGGGGGTATATCAACGTGCCTGTTGATAGCGTTGGTGTCAGACACCTAGGCCTCTAACAGTTCTCGTCCTGTCTTATTGCTGGCCCGCGCCACTATCCGCGTGCTCGCAAAGTTGAATTCGTGGCCTTCCTCCAGGGTGTGAGTGGCGACCTGAGACAACGGGTCGCCTCTCCGGACCGCCCGTTTGTGCTCCGTTATTCGTGAGCTAAGTCGTCGTCCGGTTTGTCCAGTGTAGTGGCGAAGGCAGTCCCGACATGGGATCTGATAGACGACGCCCGATTGTTCACCCACGTCTAGGCGATCCTTCACTTGCACTCATATCTCCCCCCCCTTCATGGCGTGACTACAAAAACCACTCATTTGATGTTGCCTTCTCACAGTCTCTGACGATGGCTTCCTGTACGAGACCGAAAGCTCAGACTAATAAACCCACTGTCCCAGAGATCGGGTCTTCATCTTCTTTAAATCATTTCAGTTTCGGGAGCATACTGAGTGCTCCGTGACCTATATGATTGCTGATCAGGCTGGTCGGTATTGACAGTTCACTTTTTAAAAGTGGTAATTTTGCAGTCAAGGCTACTGGCAGGTTGTTTCACGGTCAATGGTACCTGTCACTGAGCGCACACCTTTTCCTTCGAGGGTGTCCTAATCATCTGATTGGTGAAAGTCAGCAACCAATCAATACGCATGCCTGTTCACCGTCATTACTTCGATGTACAGCATGCCTCCGAAACTCAAGAAGACTTGAACGAAGTATTTCGCATTGCTATCAATTAGAAATGTTCCCTCAGGTGTTGCTATAATATCGATTAGCATAGCATCTGTTCTCTGATGTGATTAAGTATTTTCCAACCACTTGTACAAAACTATGCTTGATTAAGAGCCGTTACTTAAGTAGTGTCTATTTCTCATCTTATTGCCGATGTTTATATAATTTCAATTATATCCCCTTGAAGGAATGCATGTACAGTAGATGTGCTAACTCATGAAATGTCAACCAAAATTTCGAGATGCGTTCTCGTTTCGAAAAGATCAATTAAGTAGTGTTGTAATACTAATCATGATGCAGCATAAATCTATAATGATCCAGTTACCTCAGGGTGTCGGCTTTCGAAAAAAACTTATTTTCGCCTGCGAGCTAGATCTATACTCTGCAAAAAATGACTACTTATGTAGTATGCAATTTTCTCATTGATTTTCGATGTCCTTGAAAATTCAGTTATATTGCATGAAAAACATGCATAAAAATATTCATTCTTTTACTTATTCGGTAGAAAATCACGTCTTCTCCCAAGTTCATACTCAATCAAAGATTATAATCCGGTTTTTAAAAAGTTTCTAATTGTGAGATTTTTTAATACCGTTAAATGGCCGTTCAGGAAACGTCATGTATCTGCATTTACGAATGTGGCTTGTAAAGTTGACAATATTGCTCAAATCCACTGCTTAATTTTATGAACCCCATATGGTCTCCTCTTAACACCGTAGAGAAATGCATGTAATATTGTTAACTTTACAAGCCACATTCGTAAACGCAGATACATGACGTTTCATGAACTGCCATTTAACGGTATTAAAAAATCTCACAATTGGAAACTTTTTTAAAACCGAATTATACTCTTCTTTTGAGTATGAAACTTTAAGAAGACGTGATTTTCTACCGAATAAGTAAAATAATGAATATTTTTTGCATGTTTTCCATGAAATATAATTGAATTTTCAAGGACATCGAAAATCATTGAGAAACTTGCATACTACATAAGTAGTCATTTTTTGCAGAGTATAGATCTTGCATGCAGCCGAAAATAAGTTCTTTCGAAAGCGGACACCCTGAGGTGACTGGATCATTATAGATTTATGCTGCATCATGATTAGTTTTACAACACTACTTAATTGATCTTTTCGAAACGAGAACGCATCTCGAAATTTTGGTTGACATTTCATGAGTTAGCACATATACTGTAAGTGAGAGTTGTCTCATTCCTTTTGTACGTCTTTTTGAATGCTTTGCTTTTGTGGGGGGTGTATTTCGTTTTCGGTAGACGCGCACACAATTATTCCTGCAGCCTGAGTACCCACAGTACCTTCAGATCATTCGCAATTGTGCTGCCGTTTGCTGCATTTTTCGAGCACTGAAGGGCTCCATCCTGTGATTATGTCCAGCGACATAAATCTGCCCTAGATAAAGTATACAGTAATTCATTTCGGAGGTTGGAGAGGAACCGAAAACGCCGACTGTGTTCCCAATTCTTGGTGAACTTGCTCTGAAGACCAATCTTATCAGTTTTCAGACACAAAACTTGACGACAATTGATTTCTTAAGAAATGAGAATGAGAAGCAACATTTTGGCCAGACATGGAAATATGGGCGCCATGTTTTGCAGGTGGACTTGCGCTGAATTCCAGGGGGACTAGGGTTAGGTTAAGGTCAGGGCTAGCGTTACGGTTGGGATTAAAGCTAGCGTTAGTGCTAGAGTTAAGGTTAGGATTCTGGAATCGGAACCGCCCTCGAATTTAGCAAATGACCACTTGTAGTACTGGAGAGGTCCGTATTCCCGTGTCCGACGCATAGCTTGCCCGCCACTTTCGGGGAACCCTGCTTGATTTAGGTGAACATTGAAAGATGCTATGATTCCCCCTGCATAAACTGACTTTCTTTTGCAGAGAGGGAATTACAGGGGCAGCCGCAGAGGCTTCCGATCAAAAACAAGCCTTCTGAAATGATTTAACAAACTGGCGACTTTGTCTGCTGCCAAACAACTTCGTAACTCCACTCGAGCAATTGCTTCTATTTGTAGACAATTTAAGTTTTCTATATTTGGTGAATTTTGGCGTCTACTATAGTTGATAGGAAGACATAATCACAAACCGCCACCGACAAAGACGCATTAACATGAAGCAGAAACAGTGTCTATGAGTAGAAGGTAGCTTCATCTGTAAATTAAATGTTTGACGTTTTTTAAGAGAATTCCTGTTGGATATAATCGTTGGCTTCCAGGGGTAAAGCCTTCTTGCATCTGTATGCAGTGAGAAAACCATGTTGTATACCGGCGAATGAAGAATACTTGTCTCTCATTTCCAGTAGACAGTAATCTGACTTTGAATCGATAACTGATGCTGTTCACAATACTACATACACAAACATGCATTTTATTCACCCTGTTAGTATTGACAAGGCTTTAGAGGAAGGACTCTGAAGTAATGAGAAGGTAGCTATTAAAAGAGGCATACTAACTTTTGTTCTTATTGTTGACTTAAGGAGGCGTTTCCAATTCGAGTAAACAGGATGATATTCTTCAACATGCCGTCATTTTTTGATGCCACCTACAAGCTGGTCGAACCCTACTTAAAGGAGAAAATACGAAGCAGGGTACGTTTTGCAGTCATCTGCGAAAACACTTACATATGCATGTTTTACAATGTTAAGAAGGTTGCTCTGACGAAAATAAGTGGTTATGTCAGTTTAAACTTCCTTAGCCAAATATCCAACAATGTCGCTCTAAGTAGTTGAGTCTAATATTGTGAATTTTGATACAACACATGATGAGGATAGGGTATGCAACCCCTCCCCGCGGGTGTTTATTCAAAAGACCACCTTCTTGCTGTATTTAGGTAGGTGTGGTTCATAACGGTTTGCCCGACAACAAGTCGCAAAAGGGGATATGCGATACGCGGTTTTTGGCCTTCACTAGCGCTACTGACGTTAAAATTGCCCATGTCGGGAACAAGGTTAAGATTAGTGTTAGGAGTTGGCTTATTCTCTAGGCTAGGATTCCCTTTGCAAGAGGTCTGGCTGATCCATGTTATCCCGCGAGCTTCCCACGTCGTGTGTTAATGACGCTGGAGCCTTTACTAAAGTATCTTCTGCAAGCACAGAAATTTACCTGTATTAGAACATCCCCAAGGTTTAAATGCGCCGTCCAGCAGTTTAACCTTGCATTTTGGGTTTTTCACAACGCTTTTAACAGTTGTGCGAATGGACGGCGAAAAGTAAAGAGAATTTTGTACTGGAATAGTACAGCGCAATCGACAGGCTGTTTGCATTAACTAACCTTTAACGGTTGGCTAGGAAAGCAATCACAACAGATACCGCGTAAAGGCTACTAAAAAACCGCTTGGTTACCAACGGCAATTAGAATTTTTATAACTGAGCTTAAGGACAATTCAACACAATTTTTAATGAAGCCGTTTTGTTCAAAACCTCGCGTTGCTTTCGATTTGGCGATGCCCTTAAAACTTCCTCAGAATTCATCAAGCCCATAGGTGGACTATTACGAATATTATTTCTCCAAAGTCTCCCAACTCAGTTTTCTACCAATAAACTTTTGCAGAGTAATACGAGTTTTGTTTACTGAACTTCCTCAGATGACCCTCGAAATGCAGCTACTGTCCTGGTAATGCATATTTCCTGTTGTTTTTTTTTCAAGTGCTAAAACTCGGAAGGTATAATTTAGCTCCTTTCTTACAATGGTAGGGGGGCGCTCACCGATCGTTACGTTGTGCCTTATAGGCTCTCTCTCGAGCCCAACCAGCAAACGCACGGCGGCGCATGATATAGGCAGAATGGCATTACCGACAAAGACAAGGGAGACTGGAATGGTCATTTCTGGCTTATTAGCGGTCGTCAGCCAGCCATACCCAACCCCGAAGTGTGAAACACCCGAGGCTCGAACTCGCGATCTGTTAGTTAGAAGTCCACGCCTCTAACCACTGGGCCACGAGCCCGTTGCCTTGTCGCTTTTCGATCGGCAATATAAAATGTTAGGGGGCGCTCACCGATCGTTCCTGCGGAACTCACTCGTTTGGTTGTGCCTTATAGGCTCTCTCTCGAGCCCAACCAGCAGCCGCACAGCGGAGCCTCGGGTGTTGCACACTTCGGGGTTGGGTATGGCTGGCTCACGACGGCTAATAAGCCAGAAATGACCATTCCAGTCTCCCTTACCTTTGTCGGTAATGCCATTCTGTCCTTTCTTGCAGTTATTATGTAGCGCGCTTGTTGGAAATAACAGCTGAAGTCATGAAGTATTTGTTTTCAGCCAAATTGCATACTTAACATTTATTTTGCAAAAACAGCCTCCCACTGTCCACCTCCCTATCTCTTCGAATTAGTTAATCTTGCATCGGGAAAAAGTGTCCTGATCCATAGTTAATAGGCTATACTGATAATTATGCTCACATTTAAATTTATTTCGATAAAAAGTTTTTCGAACGAAAGTAAGCCAGAAACACAATCTCCTATATTGTGCAACCAAGTCAAGATGAAATTGTTTCTTAATATTGCAGACAGCTGTAAACAAGAATTTCATAACTGAAGACGGTTTTCTAGCTGTGTGGGTTTTGTGTTTTCAATGGGATTTAACGTCGAAAGCTGATTTTTAGTTTAAAATGTTGTCATTTTATCAACTGCATGTTTTGGGTCGATGCAAATTCCAAAAAACGATACGAATAAATTACAGATTTAGCATTTAGAGAGAAAAATGTGACTTTGGAAAACTATGAGGACTTAACAAAAATCATGCTGGTTGTTGCGAACTTGCTTCTAGCCATGCTGTCATAAGTGGCTTGGAAAACGCTTAATAGAAAAGTTATATTCCACCTTCCAGCAGTTGTTATAAGACTGTGGCCTGTGTCGAATCCCTATAAAACTGAATGGCATCGTTAAATGCAAGCAGGAACTGAGAAAATGCCTATAGCAGGTCACGGCCAAACGCAACCTGAAAGCAGTTTATTTGCCTTGGAATGCTAGCCTTCTGTTAAATAGGCCATGACACGGAAACTACTGCTGCATCAATACTCTGCATTTGTCCATCTCTCTGCACTTCACACAAAATCCGGCTAGGCTTCGTAGAGAGATTTCAAAAATGTATTGACGACGACTGAGTATCTAGACAACTGAGTTCCGGCTCCAAAAGAAAGATTGAGAGTCAGGAGAGCGGGTCAAGTATCCACAATGCCAGTATATGCCTTTGTCAGCTGAAGTGCATGGAGCGATTGAGCCACGCAGCCCGATATGTGACAGTTGTTTCTTCATTCGCATCCACTTGTCCTTCAAGCAGCATGATTCGGCAAGACAGCATCCACGTCTATGGGTGATACCTACACTAAATGCGATGGTGCTAAGTTGTACTGGCCTATACACCTCTTATCACACACTCCGCAAAGCGCCAAGCCCTCGGTAACTCCTTTGATTTGCCGGCAAGATCCTATTTCGTAGTCGTGCCTGTTAGGGGTTAGGGTAAGGAGTTTGGGGTTAGTGGTTGGGGTTAAAAGTTAGGGGTCAAGGTTGGGGCTTGTCTACCGCAGGTACGGCTACGAAATAAGATCAGACCGATTCGCCCTCTCTGTGAGACAATACAGAGACACCGGTTTATACAAGTCGAATCACATTCTCAACTTCAACGAAGACGAACGCTTCGCAGTAGGCGACGATAACTGAATGCGCTGTAAGCGGATCCAGTCATTGTCGTCTGGTTCATAGCCAAACGATAAACGGGGAAGACATCTCCCTGACTATGCAGCACTACTACTCTGTTTGGGCAATTTAACTATTCTTACCGGAGGCGTTCTAGTGAGGGTTACTATCAGAGACGGCATTGGTGAACAGAGCTGCAAAATACACCTCCCATCTGTTTCCAGAAAGAGCGGTGATGCCCCAGTGGTCTGCCATTTAAATTTGTCAAGTTGAGCAAGTTTGACGAAAGGTAAGGGCCTTTCAACAACCTCACGGTTGGTCGATCGGCAGTCACGCAGGTATGTAGCAATTTACCTGGTTAATATGTCAACCTCTGCAGGTTGCTCTTATTCTCAGATCATGGGTCAGAATTTTTATCTGGGATTGCGGGCGACGAACACATGTATTCTGGTAATTAAGTCTACATAATCTTATTTACCACTTCAAATCCACTTTTCGCGTATTATGGAATTTTCACGAAAAATAAGCTGTCTACATTTTGTAAACCTCGTGAATTAAATAAAACATGCATAATAGTTCGCGAAATCCCAAGTTTTCAAGAAAATTTTCGATTTTGACTAAGTTCCGAAAACAACAGAAAAAAATGTGCTCTCCTCGACTGACATCGACAGTCTAGTTTTTTTTCTATTAGGAAACACGTCTATTTCAGTCAGGACTTAGTGAGGCCGATCTCAAAGGCGCTGTTTGGTTCTGTTACACTCGGGCCACCAGATGTCAGCCAAAAACAAACAGGCAGTTATTCGCTTAAAGAACCTCGAAAAAACACTGTGGGTATTCTAAGTACACTATACATGGATAGGAGTCCCGTTCTTGTGAATGATCAAGACGTAGGCATTTGGGATACCAAATAGTCGGCAAGATACATGAACTACATCTATCACCCTTGTTGACTATTAGATCGTCAATTGCTAAAGAAAATGAGTTCTTGCGATAAGATATGTCGAAATTTAATTTCTCCTTAGATAATGATGATTCAAGACAACCTACAGCCAGCATTCGATGCTCTGCCAGGGCTTCAAAAGCTGATGCCGAAAGAATACGGTGGCTTCAATAAAACTTTTGATGAGCTTCACGGTAAGTTTCTTCACACGTAAACTAATTAAAATAAATGACCTTGAAAAACGCTATGGCCTGACACTGCGTTTACTGGCACGCAGGATTCAGAAACCAGTCCCAAAGGCTAGGTGCAGTGCTACGAGACGCGGGGACTGCCCTAAGTGTGTTTCATTTCTGCCCGATTTATCGAAGTCAACCGAACAAGCTGCGAATTTAACGGTAACGAACAATTTATTGTAGGCATTCATGAGATTGGTAGGGACGTTCACAGATCGCGCTACGGGACTCACTTGCTCCGTTGTGCCTTGGGGCTCTCTTTCTCAAGCCCCGCCAGCAGCCGCGCTGCGGCGCGTAACATAGGCAGAATAGCATTATCGATAAAGGGCAAGGGGGATTAGGGGAGGGGGAGCATTTCTGGCTTATTAGCCGTCCTCAGCCAGCCATACCCAAACTACGAGGTGTGGATGACCGGGATCTCAATCCCGCGACCTGCTGGTTAAAAGTCCAACGCCCCTAACCGCTGAATCACGAGCTCGTTGTCCTGTCGGTCGCTCAGATTCGTTCTGTCACTGTCTCTGGTGATGGGTTCGAGCGAGAATTCGAAGCGTTAGGCGAATAAAGCTTTTGTTCCGGCGATCGCTTCTACTTCTTATCAACTAGCTCCTGGAACTCACATCTTCGCTTGTATCGACAGTTCATAAATCCAAAAGACGTCTTTATCCCTAAACAACTCAGTCGCCGACTTTTTTTATTTCAAATCGATTGTCCCAATAACCTCAATGTTGGTGGATATCCGAACTGTTTAATATCCTTTGTCTCCTCATTTTTGGTGCGCAGTCGGCTATCGCGTAGTTGTTATTCGAATTTTTAAGGATTCAGTCCGGCTAATATTGGGCGTAAACCTTTTCGATTATATTCAAACCGAGGTAAACATTTTTTTCGCTTGAAACAGCAGTTATGTTTTTCGTGGATACCAGTCCCTGCCGTTTTGTTATTCAAAATGGTCGACTTGGAATTAAACCGTCATTCCAGATAACTATGAAAGTTTTTACACATTCCGGGTGTTTATAAATAGTTGGGCCACGTCAGGCCACATTCACAGCAGATCCTACAAAGGGATCTCTGCCATATCGAATGTTCGAAACTTACGTAGGCCGCATCGGCGTATTTACTCATTTTATCACATCAGTGCTCCCTCCAAATCACAGTCCCTTCGCCGCCCGAATTGAACCATTCACTTATGAGCCAGCTGTCCTAGAATTTCCGTGTGACCTTCTTTATGGCTTCAACTCACGTTAAGTTGCACTTACTCTTAAGGGAAAAATACTACCTACAGATATAAAAGACAGGGTAAAGAACACGTCAGGCTTATATGTTTTCGTAAGTCAGTTATTCATATCCCAATCGCAAGGGGGGTTGGGGTCTGCGTCATAGCAGACGCTTCCTGCATCTCGCGTTTTCGTATGTGTTTGACCCACAACATGGTCCCTGTCGTTTCGTTAAATCCAGACCAGGTCCACTTTGGCCTATGATTCCCAAATAGGGCTGTGCTGCTTATATCCGTCTCTAGTAGGTGACACGCATGTTTAACACACGGTAGACGGAGCGTTGCACACGTCAGCCACAGTGTGTCCGATGTCACCTCAGTCCGCGTGATCCAACCACCTCACTGATGCTGGGGCATTGTGAAGTGAACGTGAAGTCGACTCTGAGGCACCTCGTATCGACTACAGTTGTGTCTGTGCCCTGGGCACCGCGGTCGTCAGGTGTAGACGTGGCTGGTAGGAGAAGAGAGAAGACACCAAAAAGAGGGATTTATTGTGCACAGCACCCTGAGCCACCGTCTCAGGTGGCAGTAGTCGCGGCCGAGGCCTGGGGGTGTGCTGACGATGTCAAGTCAAGCCCGAGAGAGAGAGAGAGAGAGAGGGCTAGGCCGCGGTGTCAGCTGCTTTACTAGATTCGTAGACGCATGTTCGGGTGCTGTGCAATTGGTGCGTTGATGACGGAGACGAGATGATGATGCTTAACGTTCTGTCACTCAATCGCGGTTCGCGCCCTGTTGATCGAAATGAAAGTTATCCATATTCACGTGGGAACGCTGTTAACCAATCAGGCCGGCCTGCTGACTCCAGCTCCTAGTCACAACGGAACGTCCCCATTCCCTCCCGCAATCCAGCCAAATCAACGATCACTATTTTCGTACAATTCTTCAAGGTGGTTACAGAATATTCAGTATTTCTTCGAAAAAAACCGTGCCATTTCTGCATTTTTCGACACAACTTACTTTTATATTATCAAGTGAATTGGAAAAGTCTGGTGACCGTGTTACACTTTAAAATGTCACGAGTATTTTATCCCTTTCATCCAAATGGTGCAATTCTGATTTTTTTTAACTCTTTTAGCTGAAAATCGTCAGGCAATGATCGACTTATTCAAAAATCGGAGGCGCATATCCCTTGCAGTGGATGAAAGCAAGCGTCCAGAAACTTCCAAAAATTTAATGCGTGTCTACGGCGACCTGCCCGCCGAGAGTATGGGCAGACAAGGGACCTATGTGAAATTTGGAGAAGACGACATCTGACTGGATCATGTCTAATGAAACACTTCTAAACATTTCTGGTAGCAGTTATTTCCTTTTTAAGGAGGAAGCGAATTTCGCAAATGAACGCCTAAAAGAGTCATCAAGTCCCCATCGGGCGAGTGTTAACTTTATTTATTTAGGAAAATGATGTTTTGTAAGGGGGTCTTTCGAGTGCCACATTTTAAACAAAGCCGGTCAAACATACAGCATTTCCAGTCAGCTGTCGAGTTCAAGCAAATCAGACAGCGAGATTCAACAAGTTACGACCGGAATATTCGAACAGTTATTGAGTGAAATACGCTAACAACTGCACTTGTTGTGATGATGCCAGGCCGTCAGAAAGTTACCATGTTAGCGAGGCCTGACAAGTTCGATGGAGTCGAACCAGGAAATAGCCTTTGTTACAGATGTGAAAGTCATTTATGGAAATAGCACACCGTCCGAGAACCTATAGGTCGCGAGCAAATCACGATGCACAATGAAGACGCCAAGGCCTGCCATGGTTGTGTACCGTGTGAGGCAAGCGTGGACGGACGGCTTAGTTTTTCCAGTCACTGCGTCCGAGCCTACCGCCAGATGCGTCTTAACTTCTTTTTGCCATAGAAACGTAGCCGGTGCTGAGTCAGCGACCGTACACCTATAACCGTTTTAATGGTGAGATTGTAGCAACTATGATAACAATAATCTCTATCCCCCACAGTTCTAGGAAGCAGTCCCGTCTAGGAGGAGAAGGGAAAGACACTGGGGCTCCGCTATGCAGAAAAGCCTGATGGTGGTCGGTTCTAGGTCTGCTCGCGTTTCTCGTTTACAGTCACGTGGGTACGCGTAGTCAAATATATGCCCCACCTGAGTGTCAATCAACATCAGCTCTGTGAGCTGACTGGTTAATCCCTGGGTTCGTGAACGCCTAGAGTTGGTCTGGCAGTTCGCGTCTCCTCGCCCTCCGCCTTTGTCACTCTGCCGTCCTGTCCGCCTCACACTCCGTGTCGATACGCTGCTGGGACGCGCGAGTGCTCGAAGCCAATCAACGCTGTCCCCACTCTGATTGGCTGGCGACGTGGAGACAACGAAGGGCGCACACATGCGCTGACAACACCTCGAAGGTGGACACAGACAACAGCTTGCTTGGAGCGCGCTCGCGGCGACTGCCTACAGAGCCCTTGTGTACGCACCTCCTCAGGCAGTAAAGGTTGTCCAACTTAAACCGTCTTCCCTGACTTTTGTTTGGGAATCTTTATGTTGTCGAGCACACGATTTTCGACATTGGCCGTCCTCGGAGTGAATTGCGGGTATGTTTCGACGTCCCAGTCCGTTACCGAGTGATTCCCAGTGTGACCTATGTGTCAGGGGAGAATGGTGTACGTCTTTTGGCTGCCAAGGGGCTAAAACAGATGAGGGTATTCGGTGGGTCTCTAAACTTGGTAAACTGTGCTTTTGGTTAGGTTCGTGAGATGGGGAAGCGCCAGCTGTGCTGTGGCATGCGTAGACCGGGGACCAATAACTGCGCGCGATCCCATTCCAGGTGGTTTGACTTGCACCTGTTGCTGGTAGACGGTGGTGTGGAAGGTACTTAGGACAACCTGGTACCTACTTCCCCATCATATTAAATTTTACGCATTGTCAAACTGTACCGACTCACCAAAATTCATGGTATGGAAGGCCGGCGGCTGAGAATCCGGCCTAGTCCCCCAGTTAGATTGAAAGTCAGACAGAAATGGCCTCCTATTAATCTGCCTCTTAGAGACGCTTTTTTTCTTGGGAGATCCTGTCTTTGTTAGCCAACGCATTTTTGCTCATCCCTAGCCGCCTTGCCGATGGGAAATGGCGGATGCTGAAAGAGTAGGTGGGGTGGATGATGTCCAAGTCGCCACTGCGCCACCGGGACATTGAGGACTCTCGCGTTTGCGACGGGTAAACTATCATGGGTACCGAGAGGAAGGCGACACGATCACTGGAACAGGATTAGTTGCAATACGAATCCGAACCCTCAGGCGAATGAAAACGGTTGCGCGGATCACGTCTTTTGCCATCTCGACTACTTTCTGGGACTGACATTTTCGCTTATATCATGCGTGTATGTCCCTGCTGTTACAGTAAATCCTGATGAGATCCACTCTAGTCTATGATTTCCAAATAGGACTGGACCAGCCAATGCCCCTGCATCGGCGAGATGGTTGGATCACGCGGACTGGGTCGACATCGAACGCACAGTGGCTGACGGGTGCAACCCCCCGTCTAACGTATGTTAAACATGCGTGCCGCCTACTAGAGATTGATATAATCAGCACAGCCCTATTTGGGAATCATAGGTCAAAGTGGACCTGGTCTGGATTTAACGAAACGACAGGTATCATGTTTTGGGACAAACACATACAAAAACATACGAAAGAAGCACCAAATACAAGTGGCTCGCAAACCGACTACCACACTACGCAATCAGCTTGTACACCCTACGGATGGGGTTGGCTATTTGGGTAAAAAAATAAGTAGTCTATAAGATTCCATGTGGCATTTGTAATGCAGTATATTGTGGTCAAACCGGAAAATCCGCCTCTACACGCATACATGAACACCAATTGGCAGTGAAGAGGCGGGATCACTTATCCCAAGTCGCCATGCATACTCTTGAAACTGGGCACAGATTCGTTTGGGATAAAACACGCATTGTCGGTTCCTGCCCACATGAGAAAGGCCGAGAATTCCTAGAGGTCATTCACTCTGATGATTCATGCATCAATCGACGCATCGATCTTGACGCCATGTACATAAATCTCAGGGAGAAATGGAAAAGGTACTATCCAATCAAACCTGACATCAGCCCACAGCATAAACCCATCCTCAGCCATGACAGAGCAATATCTATTTTTGGGCATGTTTAAATTTTGACTGTTTCTTCAAACTTACTACACGTCTGAAGACAAGCTGGGGAACCAGACTAAAAAATTTACGAAATAAAGTTTGTTCATTTTTCCCAAAGGACTTATTCTTCTTCGAAATATCAGTATCTAGCAGACGGTACGTATGCTTAACACACGTTAGACGGGGCACCGCGCGCACCAGCCACCATTAATTCGATCTTACCGCAGCCAGAGTGACTCAAAAATCTCATAGATGCATGGGATTGTGAAGTAAGCGTGAAGTCGACTGCAAGGCACCTTTACTTACGGTGGTCAGACGCATAATTTCCTCACCATAGACAGTCACAAGCGTTTCAGTTATGAAGCGGCGAGGCTCTGGTGAACTTCGGTCCGATAAAGTGCTTAGGACCCATCTGCTAGCCCCCGCCTCCGGACCATCTGTACCATCTGCGAGCGCATGTTTGTGTCTCTGGTCACAGCTGGTGGTCAGAGGTTATGAATGGCTGAATGAGGGCAGAATAAGCCCGAAACAGTACTCTATCAATCTACCCGCAGTCTTT